GTCTGAGCAGGATCTCAGGGTCTGGGTGGAATGTCTCCAGGCTGCTGCTGACCCGAACTCTAATGTTAGTAGTTCTGTACAGTATATACTTTTCAGAGCCATATATGCTCGAAATAAAATATGCAGTTATATTCCTTTTTCTCAGCAGTCACCACGAGGCTATACAGTAAATCCTGAAATTAGTGCCACCACACTCATCCGTGGTCATTTTGACACAAGGCAAAAGTGAAATACAGTAACTATAGACGCATGAATTCTGCGTGTTCTTTTTGTAAGTTTTAGTATGATATCAGTTTCTATATTTTGTCAAACCTCTTCAATGCAAACTCAGGGGGACCCACGGAATAATTTGTCTTTGGTATACTGTATAGCTTTTTGAGGTAGGGAAATCACCCTAATTTGCAAGGAATAAAATGGAAAATTGAAAGAATGCTGGTCTTGATGGATACATGAGCACAATTTTCAAATTATACCCATCTACCTTCCTTTTTAAAAGCATCCTATGTTACATTTTGATTGCTCTTCTCATCACAGTCTCTTGAGTAATAACTAAAATGCCACTCAACATTGGAGTTATAGAAGTTTGCTGGGGTAACTCTTTAGGTTATTGAGGTTTTAATTACTTTTTTAAGGGTGTCAGGCAGGGAGGAAACAAAAATTTGACAAGATGGAGGTTTTTGACTCAGGACGGAGGTTGATATACCAGTGTTCAACTGCCCAAGTGGGGAGCTATTTTAACACGTTTTTATTAACNTTGAAATATGCTCACAGAACAGGGAAAGTTTGTCTGCTTTCTTCATTTCGGATGTTTTGGTAAAATGATTCCTTGAAGATAATCGTAAAAATGTATAATTTCAGGATGAGTGGGTGATAATGCAGAGACAGGCTCTGTTGAGTCCAGCTACGGAGATTCGGTTCCCGGATTGCTTTGGCTACCTGAGCAAGTTGGGCCACAGATGGCGCGCGTGGCGTCGGCGATACTGCGTCCTCAAGGACGCCGCCTTGTTCTTCTACGCGGACACGTCGGCCGTGAGTGCGCTAGGTGTCGCCTGTCTCCACGGCTACCGCGTCCAGTCCTCTGGGGTCGGCGGGAAAAAGCACGCCTTTGAACTCATCCCTCCTGACGAACAGTTCCGCCATTTCTTTTTCTACACTGACAGCGACACCGACAAGAAAAGGTACGTGGGATTACAGCAGATGGTTTCATCATGTACAGTATATTCTGTTGAAAGATCAGACCAGCGCAGTGCATATTACTCGAGTAAATGCCTGAAAGTACTGTACTTTATTAATTAAAGTAAGTAATTAAGTTATTATCAAATTCTTCTTAATTAATGAAGTCTTCCAAAGTTCAAAATGAAGGGTGTAAGCTGAAAAAATATTTGGACATCTCAAATGTTCATACCCGAAGGGTTTAAGGAATGACATGATGCTGTATTGAAAAATATCCTAAAATTTTTATTTGAAGTAAAATGATGGTTGGAATCCGTATTTTTTTACAGGTGGATTGCAGCGTTGGAGTTCTCAATCGACAGATGGCTCAAAGTTGGCTAATGAATTATTGCCTGAAGGTTCCTAGAAATGTTGAGTATACGATTTCAGTGTTTTATTCTCTTTTTTTTTATTTGGTGGGTGCTCGTCGGTGTTTCGATTGCCTCTGATCGGTGTGTATACAGATGCAGTTCTTCCTTCTTTTGTTTTTTTACACTATTCCCTGTCCTGTGATGTGCGAGAATCGAAATTTTGAAGACACCAGATGTGTCGAGATTGGGATAGGTTACCATTGGTTCCTTAAAATAATTGGAGGTGCTTTTTAGAAGTGAACATCAACTGTCTTGAAATGATCTGATGAACAACTTCTGTGATCATGGCGGTCAATCGGTGAAGGGAGATTTTTTCGGTGGTTTTCGGGCTCTTTTTCTTTTTCTTGGATGAATGTGTCTGTATTTCTGGTCCTTAATTAGGGTGAGGCTTTCGTTTACTTTTCTTTTTGTATTCAAACACTTCTTTGTGTCTCCAGAATGCTAAAGGACTGTTGAGGGATGAAAATAAAGGTGGAGGGATTTGTTGAAGAAAACGTAATTGTTCTTAACATCATGCATGGTACTTGACGTACAATTCATCAAACTTCTGCATGGAATTGCTTGCAATATAAAGTGTGGATTTTCTGTCAAACTTCTTTACTCTTGAGTTTTAAAGAAAAAGACATGTAAATAATTAAATTTTATTCCAAATTTTTAATTCAAGTATTTCAATTTGTATTTAATTTTTTATTTATTTAATTTTCAAGAAATTCGGAATTCATTTTCATGTGAAAAACTTTTAAAATGTTTTAACTTCTATTCTTGCCCAAATCCCAACTTTACAGAGGGACATTTCAAATGACATACTGAAATTGTTTTTAAAAATCTTAATTTAGAGGGAGGTATTCAAAATGTATCAGAACTCAGGGGTGGGTATGATTTATCAAATCAACACCTTTTATACATTTTAGCCTCACATGATTCAGACCTTTTTGTCGGTTGGTTCTCTCATTAAAATGCTTTTAATAAGTATGAGTTTGCTTAAGATCGACAGAAAAGTTTTTTTTAGCAAGTTATCTTCAGAGTTTATTGAATTATATTTGATAATAATTACGATTAACACTAATAAAAGGTTGACGAAGTAATCTTGGAAATATCTTTGAAAATGAAAGGAAAACAAATAAACAAGTTGAAAATTTTTTTTAGTGCACCTCTAGCTTGACAAAAATGAATCTGTGTTTATTAAATTTTACTACTTTAGTACACCAGGTACGTGCGTTTCAGACTGGAGCACATAATTTTTCATGTGAGATTCAGCCGAAAATGAAAATAATTTCACACTGATGAAATTGGTTGAACGATAATATAAATAACAGCACAAAAAACACCAAACTATTAAAAGAGAATAACATTTAAAAACCCCCTTATTCAATAACTTGATCCAACACTGGCAGTGACGGAAGTGGTGGTGGTTGTCAGAGACTTGTTGGCCTCCCTGGTGGTAGGACTGAGCAATGGGTGTGACCCTCCCACCTTGACAGGTGCACCATCAGTTCTGGCCTTCATTTCATCAGTAGTCTCTGTCTCTGCAGACAAGTGTGCTGGAGTGATGCGACTGCTGCTTGACTGACAACCACCATCATCATCTTCATCACTGTCATAATCTTCTCCCATGGATGCAAGCCTTATGCTTTTCTTCCCTGCTTTCTGAATCCCGCGAAAAATGAGGATCAGGAAAGGGGTAATTAGGGTGGACATTATGGACACCAGGGCTAGTCTCTGTAGTGGACCTAGTTTAAGAGGAGCAGAGCTGATGTGTTGACCAACTGGCCAAGTGTCTCTCCAACCTAGAACAACAAATATTTTAAGGTATAGTATTACTTTTTAGTTTTTTTTTAAAGAAATATCTTACTCTGAGACTCATCCTCCTCCAGGTGCTCCAGCTCCAAGACATGGCCCATGCCATCTTCAAGTTTGATCCCAACATCTAAAACACAGCTCAGAAAGTGACACAAATTTTATATTGTCTAAAAATTATTTAAGATGAGCACTGGGGCAAGTGACGCTAAGAAACAAAGCTAAAGCTATGGAGGGCAGGATTTAGTGGGTGAACTGGTAATGCTGGTGCTCATGAGGCAGCAGGACTTGGTTGGTTTGTGGGTCATAATAGGCAGAGATGGTGGCCATAGGTGGGCTGAAGCTGCTCTTTTTCACGCCCAGGCTTCTGCCCATACTGTCCTTGCCTCCACTTGCTCTGTCATCCAAACCACACTCCCGGCTGTGAAATTTAATACATGCAATTGGTTTTGATTGAGCTGATTTTTGTAATGCTAATGGAAATTGTATCTTACTCAAGTTCAGACATGGCTGAGCAGTACCATTTGAGAATGCCCAAGCCAAACATGATGACAATGAGGTTGATGAGGTACTGAATGCATAGTGGGATTTCAGTCACACAAGGCACTGGAGGAGCTGTTGGATGAAAACATAGTTTTCCTTCAAGTAAATTATCTATTCTTAATGTAAATTTAGCTAACTCTGTCAATGACTGAATTGAACTGGATACTTGAAGTGGTGGATACTTGAAATTTTGAATAAAAATTTATTTTAAGGCATTGATGCCAAGATATTTAAAATGAAGGTTTGAGAGTAAGCATGAATCACATCAAGTGAACTCACGTGGTGGAGGTGGGCAAGGCAATGGACAAGGTGGTGGGCCACATGGATTGCACTGGGCATTCATCCTTGGTGAGTTGTACCTTTGCTGTGGTTGCTGGTCAGCATACTGGGGATATTGGTTTGCTTGCCTCTGGTACCCAGAAGGGTACCTCGCATAGTCTCCTTCATACTTTGCTACTACACAACAACAAGAGCCAAGTCACAGTGGAACAACCACAGCAGTGCACTACAGTGCCAAACAAAGCTTTTGTGAAACACCGCTTTTAGAACTGTTCTCAATTTCTTCAATGGTTGCCAATGGTCCTTTATATGGCCATGAGAGGTCAATTCATGCATAGAACTTACTGACTATATACAGAGATTTTTTTTTTGAGCTGGTGTTCCACTGTGCTTTGTCTCACACTTGCCCCTTCATGGACACTCACCCTTGGCCATCTTTGGTGCAGCTGCAGAAGGATAGTCTTGCTGAAGCCCCTTGACGTCAGCTGCAGAACCATATGTTTGCAAAAGAACACCCATCTGGTGGACATGATCATGCATTGGACCGTCAATGGCCTTACCTGCTGCAGCCATCTTGTGCAGGGACTTGTCTGCAGTGACGTCTCTGTGGAGAGCCATGTCATCCCGTTCTGCAGCCTCTGGTGCAGAGTTGCTGGCTGCTAGATAGTTCTTGTGCTCAGCACTGAAAAATTATATCATTATACATGAGTATATGTTGTATTTTTTCATGTAACCAAACTTGTTGTGAAGTTGCTTGAAGACATCTGTGGCATATGGGGAGTACATTGAGTCCTTTGAGTAACTGCTGGCTTGCTTCAGAGTTGCCATTGTATCCTGCATCATCTGCTTTTTCAGGGGAGCTGAACTGTCTCTCACCAATGGACTTCCGTACTTGGCTTTGAATGCATCAGGGCCTGCACCATGTGTTGCATTACAAGAAAAAAATTCATTTTATCTTTCTTTTTCCCTTTTGCAGTTGGGTAGTGGGATTTTAATTAGTGGATGGAGATTTTTTAATGGATAATTTTTTAAATGTGCCACAATTCAAAAAGAAAGAGTTTAGCTTGTGTGGCTATTGACTTTGGGAAAAGAATACCTGTGACTCCATATGCAGCATCATTCTGAAAAGCTTGTGTGTTTAATGCTGCTCCTACTTCTGCACTTCCAAGTTTTCCCAATACCTCAAGTTCTTGGTGGTTTGACCAGTCATTCAGCTGTTTCTTCTGTGTTGCTGCTGCTTATTTTGAAATGGCAATTCATATGTAATTTTTGCAGCACAATTTGGTCATAAATTTGTGATCTTACCTCCATGAGCCAAATCAACCTGGAGGCATCCCAATAGCAGCACAGCCAGCATGTGATAAACGGCTGTCCGTCTGAAGGCCGCCATAATGGTGTTAGGAAGCTAAAGGATAAAGCAGTGCAAGTTCACCATGAACAGCGAAGCCAAGAAATTTGAGTTTTAAAGGAACAGCTGGAAAGAATTTAAAGTGGGGGAGT